CACCGTATGTATTTCTTCTTTGTTCTTTTATCAGGATATACTTCTTTCAATACATATTTTATTAACTTACTCTTTTTTTTATAGGGATTCTCAGGTAAAACTGGCACATTACATCATTTTTCACATGCCAGACGATGCATCATCATCTGAGGATTCTGGAAACAGTGTCACAGTCCTTAACAGTAGCACTGATGAAAACGAAAGTAGTGATGAAGAAGAACTTCAGGAACTTGTGACATCATCAAGAGGCGGTGGTGTCACAGCTCCAGGACCAGTCTCTGGTACACAGCTCCAAAAGCTCAAAGACAGTGTCCTGTATGAACTTCAGAAACTTGAGCACTCCCTCTCCATGTCTGTTAGCGTTCACCACACCAAGTTTATCCACAACTTACCCCCAGGTGACTGAATCATTTCCACTGATTTCATAGATTGCCAATTGTTGTTCTTCTAAATTGACAATTGCTGCTTTTGCAGTTGGACCAATATTCTTTACTCACTTGGCAGCTGCTCAGCTGGGGCAAGCCACGGTGGTGTCACAGATAATAATTGGCTCATCTTCTCAGTCTGAGGCATCATCAAGGCATGGTAGTGATGAGATTGGTATTTTTGGGGCCAGTGGCTCAACGTGCTTTGCTGGTTGAAAAAAAATTGCCTTGGGAAGAAGTTACAAAACCATGCCTGTTTACTTCTCATACTATGATCGTTAGGTTTCGTTTTTAGGCGGTAAGGCATCAAACACTGTGGCTTGGTATGTTTTTTGTGACTATTTTGGCCAAGCATTGTTGTCTTCTGGGGTTTGAATATCAAGTTTATCACTTCATATTTTACATAGATTATATGATGGGAGCAAAATCCCTGAAAGATTACAGTTTTACAAAGAAATCGATATGCGGGTTTTAGGTTTAGGTTTCATAATCATGAAAAGCTTCTTCTCTGTTCGAGCCATCCGATCAATCTTAGCTACTTTTTAGATCATGAAGGCTGCCTCCAAAAGTATATCATGTTTCTCAGATGGGCACATACACGTCCCCATCCCCCATTTGCCATAAGCACATCACCTTTTTATTTCAGAACAAATCTCAGTTCTTATTCATCCGTAAAGTTTACTAGCTCAAAATTATGACGAGTGCGAGGCAAATCAGTATAATGCAAATCAAGGTACAAGCCAATGTAAGAGATTAAAGTGAGATAAACAAAACAACGAGATAGAAAGCAGATTTTTTTTTCGCAGTCGCGTTCTAACTAAACAAAGATCAAGGTGAAACCAATATCTTCACAGATGATGATATTAGCCTCTAGCTTATTTTTAGTAAGAAGTATGTCACCAGAACACTGCCAATCCGGGCAATATGTCAACACCAAGTGCTTTCGTTTAATTGGTCATATTGCTTTGGGTTTTGGTAGCCAGGTTATTAGCATGGTCCCTGACGATCATACGCAGCAGTCGAGACCTGTTTTCCATGGGGAACCAAAAACCATAAGATAGTGCAGGCCACAATGAGTAACTTCTACACTGGTTCATTGGCATCAAAACTTGATCATGTATCTCCCCTCATTTCAGTGATACTCATAGTTACCTATCGGGTCAAAAACAAGGCTAATAATACTATACAGAGCACATCTAAAGTGAAATTAGTGAACCAGCAAGAGTGAAGGTGGATTGATAATACCTGCAGACCGTAGGCCTTGTTGTGATGTTCGCTCACGAGTTCCCGCATTCTATAACAACCGCAAAGAAGAGCTTTCGAAGGCACGCCAGCCTATGTTAACGCAAGTCCATCCAACAAAAAAAATTACCAATGGATCCATAAATAAAACTGAAACAAACTATTAGCATGTTTGTCAGATGGGCACATACACGTCCTCATCCCCATTTGTCATAAGCACATCATCTTTTTATTTCAGAACAAATCTCAGTTACTATTCATCCAGAACGTTTAGAAACTCAAACTTATGACGAGTGCGAGGCAAATCAGTATAATGCAAATCAAGGCACAAGCCAATGTAAGAGATTAAAGTGAGATAAACAAAACAACGAGATAGAAAGCAGACATTTTTCGACTAAACAAAGATCAAGGTGAAACCAATATTTTCACAGGTGATCCTAGCAAGCATTTCACAAGATACTAGCCTCTAGCTGTTTCTAAGTAAGAAGTGAAAACAGAAGTCACCTTCTCAAAGGCGTGCAACATAGCTCCGTGGCCGCCAACACCAGCTCCAGTGATGGTCAAATCGGCAGAGGGCCATTACTTGTAAATAGGTCTTTTGACAAGTTCAAAGATTCTATGAAAAAAAAAGTCTTAAGAGGGAATGCTACCAACAACAAGACAAGACGTGCTAATCCATACAAAACTAGTAGTTAGTAAGGTCTTCATTGAACACTAAAGATGCTACACAACAGACAAAACAGCTATCACAAGTACTCAAGAAACAAGATAATTAAGTCTGGGCACACCCACCAGAGAGAGAGAGAAGAAAATATACAACAAGACAAAGGCACAACAAAAATCTACAAGAGAAAGACGTGTTGGACGAGTCAAACAAGAGCACACATAACAGTGAACTGAAACGGAGTCCGATGGATGATATAATACAGAGAAAAAGGAAGAACAAAGCAAAGAAAGCGGAGGCCATGTTGAGAAACCAACAATTGTCAGGATATAATAAAATCGAAGATAAAGACAATAGATTAGGCTGCATTCTGGTTAGAGCTGGGAACATAAGAGCACCCAAGTGGCCAACAACTTCGGTGCTTAGATTCGCCAAGATCAACTTTCTCGAAGTAGCCCTTCTTTCCAATGACGTAAGCTATGTTGTTACATCTACTATTGTTTTTATCAAGAACCACGGCCACCTTCTTCTTCTCGTCAACGAAGAAACTCCCACCAGTAAAAGAGAAGGAATAACAAACCGGTGAGAGGTTTCATATCAACCTTTAAGAACAACTTGTTCCAAGACACTGCATTGGGCTCAATCTTGCTGCTAATCCATATCTTCAAGGTAAATGGAGGAGAAGTTCGCTGAAACAACACGGCAAGCCGGTCTTCCCCAACACTAGATAGAGCTACAGTATCTCGAAAGAAAGGGTGAAAAGGCAAAGGCAGAGGCAGACGAGGTCCAAACCTCTCCGTGGTAAAATCAAAACAGAGTAAGAAATAAGAATGATCTCCTCCAAGTGGAAAAACCTTGTCTCGGGCAAACCAGTAAGTGTTGCCATGGAGAGACAAGCCACGGTGAACAAATTCTATATCCCAGTCCGGATTGACATCAAGAACCTTCCATGAATTAGAGTCAAAACTGTAGATTTCAAACTCACGAAGCTGGGGCCTCATTTTATAGTCGTAGTAATCCACAAATCTCAAGACTTTGTGCGAATACGTGTTGTTGTTCTTCATCTCGTATACCAGAGCGTACCTGTCCCATATGTTGAAAGAATTTCTGGGTTGGAGCCACCATGTTTGCCCGGTACAAGGGTTCCAAACAACAAGCCTAGATATGTCTTCTTTGGTGGGGGTGCATAACAATAAACCATGGCAGTTGTCTAGGCTATTAAGTTGACCTACACGCTTTATACAAGTAGGAGAGAGGAGATTGACGCTGAATAAATAGACCCTGTAATCGAGCATCATGACCACCTGAAACTCCTTGCCTCCTTGTAAAGGATCCATCTTTGGATAAAGTGTTCCACTTTTTGCAAGTTGATCGCACTCCTCTCAGAGATGTCACCGGAAGGCTCGAGAGCACCTCCTCTGCCAAATCCCTCGGAAGATCGGAGAGCATCATCGTCCTTCTTTGTTTCACGAATCGAATTTTGTGATTTTAGGTAATCTCTCTACCCTTTTCCTTTTCCCTGATTTCTTCCGGATCTATTATTTATCAATCCTTTTTTCTCAGATTTCTGTGTCGGATTTTTTCAACTTGGGCTTGGGCTTTAAAGTATTGCCCCAAGGCCCATTAAAGTACACTCATTCATCAGTCGAAATTTAAAAAAGACTCGACGAAGAAGACTCGCTCACAATTTTGGAAACTGTTACAGCAGCTCCTCTGCGCATAGCTTATCCATCAACTCTCTCAATTATTCAGCATCATTATAATCGTCAGTCCAAAAAATATACAGATGATAAAGCAAACCGAAAAGTTTGTACTTTTTCCTATCTTACCACTCGTATTTGAAGTTTCTGTACATTCAATAAATAGTTATTCTATATCTATCTGA